GGTTACCTACTCAGCTACTAAGTGGTTCTCTAAATTAGAGTCCCTTTTATAAAGGTGCCGTACTATATTATTAGGGACCTACAAAGGGACCCTAACTTAGAGAACTACCCCCATGGTTTTCACGAAGACCGAACCTCGCGGCCCTTCGAAGCGAAGTAAGCCGCGCGAGCAGTGTCGTTGGCCCAAGGCTCATATGAGGTCATGTCATCACCTTGGCCCCATGTTTCGGGAAGAAAGGAGACCGAAGGCTGCTTTTCGCGGGCTCCCGGTGTCCAGATGCTAGAGAACCCCAACTAATGTAGGGGCCTCAATAATTACCAATACTATTTTGGGGGTTCCTTACTATAATTATAGTACAATGGGCCCCCAAACCCTATTCTAATGATTAAGGCCCCTATATTACCCAAAGCAAGGAAGATCCCGACGCTTGAAGCAAGCCACGCCATCTTCGGAAGAGTACGTTTGCACCGTACTGCGCGGACGAGGGCAGATCTTCGTTGTACATCCCCGGCTGGAAGAAGGGAAGGGAGAGCATGATGATCAGCACAAGCATGACCACCTGAGCCCAAGGTTCTCTGTGATCATGACCTTGAACCCAGAAGAATATAGAACAACAGCCTTTTGCAGGCTTTGGGCCAATACTTTACCCTTTTTTGGGTGTTTGAACTTGACCCCGAGAGTATATAGAAAATCAGCCCTTTGTAGGCTTTGGGCCAGTATTTTACCTACTTTTAAGGGGTTAGGGAGGAACTAATTTCAGTGTTTTGTCCTTTCTAGTAGGGATCAGGAAAGTCGCTCGCGTGACCTGCTGGTATGGGAAAGGCCGATTGAGCAGCCCTTATAATCCCACTTTTTGATTTCTTTCAATTGCAAGTCGGCAGTACACCGCAAACTACGATCTTTCCTGAGTGATGGCCATTCCGGGGCCCTCAACTCTAACCCCCTAAAGCCCAAAAGCCTAAACCCTGAGCCGTTTAGGTGCTGGGAGGGTCCTGTACCCCGACCTTCCTTGCAGACTTTAAAGTGTACGCTTTGGCAGATCCAGGGCCCCCTGGAAAACCTAAACCCTAAACCCTAAACCCCTTAACCCTAAACCCCTAAACCCTAAACCCTAAACCCTGAAGCCTAAACCCTAAACCCCCTGGAGAACTAAATTTGGGACTCGGGGTTCCGGGTGCAAGAGGCCCTAAACCCGAAACCGAGCGGCTCTGCGCGTGGTCATCTCTGACAGCTTCTTCGACACGGCCGACTCTTGCTGCATGTCATCATCGTCCTCCTTCGAAATGGAGCTGCATGCAAGAGGACAGCAACAAAACACACTTGGGACCCCAAAGAAGATCCCCGAATGTGCAGCAACTCCCATAGCTTCCCAAGCGAATTAACGTGATAAATTTCCAAAGGTTAGTAAGGGGCTTATATCTGAACCTCAACGCCACAAATCTTGTTGTCCCAGGAAGTCCTCCCAATCCATTCCAGGAGATGCCTGGCGATGTGGGAGTGCAGAGCGACGGCTCTACACCGCTTCATGAACCCAATACAGAAAGCCGGACAAGTGTGGGCGAACTTGTATCAAAACGCCATAACAGCCGTGGCTATTACCTGAATCCTCTTCGGGTCACAACACTGAAGCACGAAAGCTTCCTACTTGCGAAGCGCGAATGACGAATTGTGCCTCGCTGTCCTGGGCATACTTGGCGCTCGATTTGCTTCGGTTCTGATAGAACCTTAGCAAAGTGCAGCGCTTGCAAGGCTCGACGGAAGCTGCACAACGAGGTTTTGCAGAGACAATGAAACCGGCCACAATGCTGAACGCTTCGAGATTGTCAGGGATTTAGGCGATTGCCTCCGTCCTTCCAGTCTGGGAACGAATTTTCCCATGCTTATAGGCAGAACAGGAAGTATAAGCCCTCAGCATAGTCGCGGAACGTGCCAGACATGATAAGAGACACACAGAAGCACACGCACCACCCCCTGCACAGAACGCATCACGATCACCATGCGTGAGGCTGGCGCCGACTGACTCTTGCTGAATAGGGTCCGGGTCACACGGTCTGCTCTTGGAAAGTATGTGCGGGAAAACAAGGAAGGGTTCTCACGAGTGTGTAGCTGTAGATTAAAATGGAAATCGTTCGACACAATGCAGGCTTAGACATCGACATAGGCACAAGAGTCTGCACAGGAAAACAAACATGTATGTAAGCAATTGTGACCTGATGTGCCCTTACAGATGCAGCTATGTAATGCCAACAGTACCAGCATAACCATCACGACTACCATCATTGCCGTGAAGTCTGCACATCGCCCTTGCCATCATCTGCATCATAGTCACCATGATCGTCATCATTGCCATAGTCATCGTCATCAGCGCCTTCAGCAGCATGAGCATCATCGCGAACTCCAATATAATCACCAACAGCAACAGCAATAAGCCTCAGCATCAACATAATCTTCATCATCAAGTGAGAATGTTGGCGGTATGGCGGTGCATGATGAGAAGCATGCTAAGACTAACGCCGAACACGATTTCATCAGGATAGGCAGGAATACTGCCGGCAACAGCTCACTGAGTTCTACGTACTACCCGCGCCGTAGTACTTACTAGCTACTACTTCTGACCGACTGCTTGCTATATGCATAATTACTTCCTACCACCTACTGCTACTGTCTTGCTCCATACTCGTCAAACTAGGACGAGGTACCTTCAATTTGCAACTTACTGGCTACAGGCTGCCGAATACTACCTACTAAGTGCTCCTACTTCGATGCCCCGCCGACATCACACAGAGTCCTCTTTTCCAGATCTTCCAGATTCCACATCTCCTCCTCGGCCTTCTCCTCTGATTGGCCAAAACTGCACCCCTAAGACCAAAACCCTAGTAAACCCTAAACCGAAAAATCCCGAAAACCTCTAAGCCCCTAATCGCAAAATCCTACTAAACCCTAAACCCCAAACTTTGAGAACCGAGGAGCTTGATTAAGCGAATGAGGCGGACCAGCCGAAGCAGGCGCACGACACGGCCAGCCTGGCTCGTCGGCTTGGGCGTGCCGAAACCCTCAAACCCTAAACCCTAAACCTGAAACCCTATAAACCCTAAACCCCAACCCAAAATCCTAAACCCTAAACCCTAATACCCTAAACCGTAGGAGGGAGTCTTAGGGCTATGGGGTTCAGGCTTCAGGGCTGTAGGCTCTATAGGGCTTTACGTTATAGATCTTCGGGATTTGGGGTTTTTGGGCCTTCCTGCAGGGTGCGCAAAAGATGTGCCTAGGAATGTTTAGGGTTTTGGGCTTTGGAGAATATTGATTTGGGTTTGTCGGGCTATTCGAGGATGTCGGTGATTTTGGGGTTTCTTTCGGGTTGCGGCTCTCGGGCTTGAGATTAGGATGTCGTTAACAGTATATCCCCTATGTAATCATACGCCACAGCCGGAAACCGTGCACCCCCCAAAAAAAATCAACAACCTATCATCCACGAAAGTGTCCCATGGCCCAGAAGAGGGACATTTGCCTGAACCCATACGTCCCAAAAGCCGTATACAGTGTACTGTAAGGCCCTTGCACATCTCAGTTTGTGGTCGCAATGATTAGTAATGATATCCCCTTATACTGCCTTCATAGATGTACTTTTCAATGCCGTTCCACCCTCTGGAATCCAAAACCCTCAAGCACTCAATGCCCTAAACCCTAAAGCCTAAACCGCCCTAAACCCGAAAAAACTCAATCCCAAGGCCCTCCATCGTAGGTCCGGCATAGATAAACACGGCGCCCTTGCAAGAAAGGATCCCTGGGTTCAGGGTGTAGAGTAAACCGTCGAAGGCTAAACCCCTCAACCCCGAGACTGGGCTCTTGTTAAGGGACTTTATTATAGTTACCATAATGAGGATCTACAGTAAATACGTAATAGGACTTTATTATAGTTACCATAATGAGGATCTATAGTAAATACGTAATAGGGTTACTTTATTATGGTAACTTAAACTTTTGAAATTACCATAATGGGGATCTAAAGTACATGATATGGTTTCTTTATAGTAACTAAAATTTAATCCCCTAGCATGAACCCGGAAGAAAGGAATCCCCGTCGTGCCTTGGTGCCAACCCGACTCATGCGGGCGGCCCGGGCTGCATCGGCCGACTGACCTCTCGAGCTTCACGCTCTTAGGGCTTGCGTTCGGGTCGAGGGTCTAGGGTTTGGAATTTTGGCGGCTTGTAGGGTTTGTAAAGCTCGAATCGGGTTTACAGGGTGTATAGAGCTTCTAGGGTCAAATTGATTAAGGGTTTCGGGTTTAGGGGACTTTAGCGCTTCTGGATTTAGGACGGAGGTCATCGCAAGTTTATTGCTTCGGGCTTTGGCTTCCAAGGCCCGCACCCTCAGATCACCATATATGGTTAGTTTTCTAAATTACGGTCTCTTTTAGGGTCCTCTTTATAAGGGTGCCGTACTATAGTGGGGACCTAAAAGGGACCCTACTTTAGAGAACTACCCATATACACCTTCCAAGTGCTAAAGGATGGCGACTTGCAGCGGTCAACATTGGCAGGTTCTGACGATGCGTTGTTCTTTTTGGACCGGCTGCGAATTGCACTACCTGATGAGTGCCAATTTAGGCTGCTTAGGGCTTAGAGTGTTGGTATCGGGTTAAGGCTTTTGGGGCTTAGGGTTTAGAGCTTGGGTAGGGTGTAGAATTCAGGGTTTGGGCTTAGGGTATCTGCCTTTTGACTTGCGTGTCCAGCTTCCTTAGTAGGGTTTAGGGTTTAGTTAGGCCAGCGGAGAGTAAACAAAAGCCCATTCACCCCGAGCTTGGGAATGCACCGGTTCCCTTGTCCCCTGGCGTCATTAACGGCTACATATCATCACGCTACCATATTATGTTGACGATACGCTTCGAGGTTGTGGGATGCCCGTGAATCCGAAGCCTCCTCCCGACCCAGGCTTAATGTTTAGAGCTTCGAGCTTTTCAGGTTTCGCCGGTTTAAAGTTGGGTAGCTGAGGGTCTTGGGGTTCGGGGTTTCGGGTATAGGGGGGCTTCAGGTTTGAGGCGGAAGGTTCTTAAGGCGGTTTACAAAAGCTAGAGCTTACTGCATGTAGTATAGAAGCCTGAACCGGAAGTCGCACTATTCTTTGGGGCTGCTTCGTATGAGTACTTTCCTAATTATCAAGGCCCCTGTATAGACCCCACATAAGACCTCTAACAACCCTATGAAACCCATCCATAAACCTTTACTAATCAATCGTCATCGCCTCTGTACTTCCCTATGGCCTTTTTTATGGAACCCTGTAAAGGAACCCTATTCTAGCTGTCAAGGCTCCCCACGAAGGGTTAGGGTTCGGGGAGCGCAGGAAAGCTCGCAGGAAGCTTCAACATGACCTTAACCTCCAGCTCTCAAATCCGAAGTCCCACTGCCTCACGCTGCCCCCTTCTAAGGCGAAGGCTGCTGCCCTGATCCACTGGTCCTTGCACGACTGGGCCCGCGCCATCCTCGGGCGGGAGATGGTGATGGGGCACTCGGACGCGGATCCCAAGGCAGCTTGAC